AATTATAAAGCCGACAGGAAAAGATTTGAAGGTAATAAATTTATTGTTAGCTGACGTTGACAAAATTAATCGTAACTAATGTATTTTTCGGATAGGAGAAAGATATAACATGACTTTTTATATAAGTATATATATGTATATTAGCACACATTTAATATGTCATATCCACGGCCGGAAATGCTTACAATGGCGATACCGCGGAGACAGCATCACAATTTTGAGCGAAGCTTCTCATTTATATTATATATATTATATATATTATATCTTTCACAAAATTATGCGACTTGACGCCTCATGCGTCAAGTCATTAACAAATCCCAAGCAAAATATCGGACGACTAGGATATTATCCATAATTCACAATGGCACGATTGAATTATCGCAATTACAACGATTACGTCTAGGGGGATTACGATTACGTCTTCGACAAAGCCATAGAAGACGATAACAGTCATATATGAATAACGCAATGTTAGCTTTCCGTGTTTTCCGCGGATATTAAAGTGTTCACAATAGCTAACGACGGAATCATTGTGTAGAAATGATTATCTATTGCTTACAATATTCGTTTCCGTGTTTAAGAAATTATTAATTTAATTAATATTAATGGCCACATTTTCTTTTCTAAAACTGACACATGTGTCTTTTCCCTGAAGGCTTTATGATCAAAACTTTACGCGATGTTATCAGGAAAACACCGACAGTGTATGTAAGATTATCAATAAAATCGCATTAAAGCGTTGAGATCTGAAGAGAATGCAGTACAAGACACAGTCGTCTATTATCTACTATTCTGACATCGTCGAAAAACTTGCTATTCCATTTCTTACTTTTTATTTAGTAACGCTTTGTGTAACATTTTATATTATTGATCATGAAAATCTTTGTATTATCTATAAGTCATAAAAAGTATCGCTAATAATTATAATTTAATAAAATGTCATAATAATAATAAAAATAATACATAATCACTGTTATAAAAATGTTATAAAAATTATAATTATATATCAATGTTATAAAAATTAATAAACATTTCATCAAAGGTTATTTCATATAACAAATATTCGAACTCTTTGCCTTTATAAGAAAAAAGTTTCTTTCTCGTATAAAAAAATTGAAGATATTGAAGATAAGACACAAGAATTTATGTAGCACATAGAAATTCGCAAGAAATATTAATCAAAAGTGTTACGATTTACGTACAAAATAAACAAGTACGCGTTATCAAAGAGATTAACAACTTGCGAAATAATTCACAATTGTTTAAAATTGTTTACATCTAGGCGATTTTACTTAACACGACATACATCGAAAGACGGAGGCGAAACTGACGCGAAATATTGCATCACAATGGAATACATCAAAATAGAAAGTAATATTTATCGCAAAACCGACTAAGTGCGCGGAGTCTTGACAAGAGGAAGTTAATATGACTTAATTATTGCATTTCTATGTTTAATTATATAATTAAAATAGCGCAATGCAAATTTTGCACCTTCGTTTCAGTCTCGTACCGGAATCGAATAGGGACGAACGGGGGAAATATTGAGTCAAGCAATTTTTAAAATTGCACTTCAATTCCTTCATCTGAACTCTTGTACGTATACAGAGTAATTGTGCGACGTATATATATATATATATATATTTATATATATATTGGCATCTATAAATAAATTGTATCTCTATATGCTACACGCCATATTCGTTCAGGAATTAACAAATATATGTGTATATATGTGTATATATGTGTGTATAAAGTACAGAAATTGTTCTTGTACATGTTTAAAATTGAGGACTTTGGCGCAGTAAGGAATTGTTTGAAATTTCGTGAAAAATAACTGAATCTGGGAGAATAGAAAATTAATTAGGAATGAAGCAAAAACTTTGTTGGAAATTAAATGATGTAACTAGCAGGCCTTTGATATACAATAAAAAGAGATGCTACAGTTTTTTTTCTGTTAAAGAAAAAGTTCATAAATCGGTCTTTTTTTCCTACACCAAAGCCTCTGATTAATTATATTTATGTTAGACACAGCACAAGAGAGTATATTCAACTTCATTACGAAGGCTACTACTATGACATTTAGTCGATTTATCGACGAAGCTACTGATTGCAACAAGGAGAGTGGCGTACTAACTTTATTATCGTTGCACTCAGTCAGCGCCGTTAGTTAGTTATTTACTTTCCCTTAAAACGCCATTACTGCTACTGTAAAAAATGTGGACGTATAGCTGCTTTCATTTCCATAGAATACGATACTTCGACACACTTCCAACAAAGTTAATATCTTCCTCTCTCTGACTTACTATCTTACTATTTAATTTACAGCCTGAATTCAATAATCGCTGTCAACGAGCTACGCCGCGTGTCGCGATCCGACACCTGACATAAATAACGACACTTACAAATTATTATTACTATTGTTATTATCTCATTATCGTTATTATTATATCGAAATATTGTAATAATGCAACCACTATGCAAACGCGCGATAATACTTACAATTAGCTTAAGTCGAGTCACACGAGACTCGAATGAGTTTTTGGCACGAATATTCTTTTTCTTTTCATTCTGTAAGATCGCTCTGAGCCGCTTTTGAACTTTTGATTTTCCTTTTTGTTCTTTCAGAGAAGTTTGATTATTTAGTAATTTCACTCGGAGGAGAAGGAGTTACGAAGACAGGGAGTAGAGAGAACTTTTCATAAAAGTTTGGAATGACCGACAGATGTTTCGTGGTTATAAGGAATAAAAATAAATAAAAGAGGGAAAAAGTAAAGTAAAAAATTATAAAAATAATTTTTTACAAAATCTAATAACTTTCATTTTTCATTTAATTTTAATTTTTTATAAACTTTAAAAATTATTAGAATAATTTTTTAATAAAAAGAAACACTTAATACACTAATTAATAAAGTGGAAATTATCTGATAGCCAAAAAGATACAAATATAAAACGTTTATATTTATATCGTGAATGTATTTCAAGAAAAATGTCATATAAAATATATTATTTGTTGCTGTAAAAACAATTTTGTAAAAGATAATATACATAAAGAAAACTTGAAATATTGAAAGAGAATGAAATTTAAAACAAAAGTCAACATTGATATTTATTGCAATCTAATAGAGAAATAAGAACGTAACAAATTTATAAATATTAAGGAGATAGTTATGTGTAATTGGCACTCTCTTCAGTGAAGAGGAAGATACATAGAAGAAATTTTTGCTAACAGCGCATAAACGGGTAGTTAACGTTATTTGGAAACTTCCATGGATGCGTGACGAGTTTTACAAGTTGACAGCAGGGAAAACGCAAGTTAAACGTGCACGATCAGGACCCAACTAGTTCGTAACAGTTTGTGCGCTCAAGTTATTGATACAGTAACTGTCTAATGTTAGTGGAAACATAGTAGAGAGAAAATACACACTCATACACACACGTGCGAACGTATTTCAGTCGCTCGCTTCTTTATTTTATAATTTTATTCCCAATGTAAAAGTTGAAAACTGCGACTTTAGCCGTAAGTGAACCGTTCTTTCGCAAGTTTTTCTACCTTTGGCGAGATGCAGTGTCGTCTACATCCGTATACAGAGTTACAAATGTTGCTTAATGTGTGAATTGAAGCTAAGCTTCTCGCACAGCACGCTTTATTCGAAAGATAAGATATAATAAAGATATCCAGGAGACATCCTTATAAGATGTCTTCTGGATATCTTTAAAACGTCTCTTGGAGATTTGGGTTCCAACATAACTCGGTTTCCCAAGATTCAACTCGTCGAGAGAATGTCTGTATCTATTTCCCTATTTGATGATATCTCCGTAATATCATTTAGCCGATATCCATAGGACATTTAACAGAGTTTAACTATCTGATTGGCACTAATTGGACTGCAGTAATATCATTAATTAAGTGAAATTAAATTAACGTCTGATTTAGGCAAATGTCATTAATTAAATGAAATTAAGTTAAGGTTTCTAATTTAGACCCATTTCTATCAATGCAGTTTAATTTTGATCTCGATTCAACTAACTCATCTTTTTTTAGTTATAAGAATCAGAGAAAAATGAAGAGTAAGTTGAACCCAGACTAAAATTAATCTACATGATAGAAACAAGCATTAGACAAATATTTACGGTATGTAGATTCATTGTTATAACAAGATCATTGAAAAATGATTGTTATTTGAAAATGGTCCATTTCCAGAGAAACATATACGTATATTTTGGCATCTAAGAAAGAATGCTCCCAAATATTTTAAGAATTGAGTGATTATTAAAATTAATCAATATTATCTCGAAATTGGTCGTCGTATATTTCATTTTCTGATTTCAAAAACACTCGAGTTCGAGAGTGACGACATTGAAGTTCGGAAGTCAAGTAAGATTGGAAGACTCTTAACTCTTGTGCATGCAAGTTTGTAGTTAGAAACATACTTTCTTTGGCCTTTTGCCTCGTCCACTCACTACTCCGGTAATTCATGTTCTCAACATGTGTAATTTTAACTTCTTCCAAAATATATAAAACATCTCGTTATCAAAATAAAATATAAATTGGCTATAACGTTGTCGCGCTCGCATGATAGCGCGAACGTTCGCGTTTGGCAAATATGTAGGAAACGATCGCTTTCTTTCTCCTTTCTTCCCTGCGCAACTACCATATCCTTCTTTTTTTTTTGCATAGGGATAATTACCAATATAATTAGAGTTTTTTCTTATCACAAATGCTCGCGCGCTATTCCTCCGCGTTCGGAGAAATGAATTTTGCGAGAGCACGCACGTAAAGTGCATATTTAAAACACTAAATACCGTCCAGAAAATCTTCGGCTGACTTTTTGTTAACAATGTCAACTAATTCTGGCACTAGTTTAATTTTCACGATAAGAATTTTAGTCTCAACTAAATTATATTGACATTAAATTTATATCTACAATAAATATTATTTAATAAAATAAAATAATTTAATAAAATAAAAATATTATTTAATAAAATAAAAAAGCGGTAAATAGATCGTTTTACAATAAATTAAGGTAACCGGATCCAATATGGGGCGTGTATTCAAAACGCCCTATTCACTATAAATATACAATTATACAATTATACAATTAATTCAACAGATAGCAGTAGTAGTTTGTCTCTCTGACTTGATTACATCAGTTTATTGTTCAATTTATTCATTTAATTATCAGTAAAGAAAATCCAGAATATCAGTCGTGATGTAATATTTCGCAAGAAAGTAATTGCTTCCCATAATTACAAAAAAATGATTATTCATTTCAGTAGGTCATGTTGTAACTCTGTATTCATACTTTACAACATCAGATAATTAATTTATTATTTTTATCACAAGCTTTCATTATAATCAAAGAGAAAAACTTCTTTGTAAGGTAGAATATGACCAATTATAGACAACTGAGTGTACATATATCGATTGTGTAACTTTTTTTTTATATTTTTATTATTTCAGATCATGAATTCTAATTTATTCATTAAACATCGTGGAAATAAATAAATAAGTAGATAAGTCCAATTTGGAAACGTTTTTTGTGTATTTTTATATATTAATAAACATGTCGATAATAACTTACAGTCTTATAAAAAACATTTATCACTTTATTTTTCATTTTTCTTATTTTTTTTTTTACGAAAAAGAGGGAAATATATTTAGGTCATATTGGATGTCACGTGTACTCAGTATGCGCAGAATGATACTTTTTTACTGCACCAAAGTATATAAATGTTTCAAAATGTCTCATAATTTTTATTAACATTCAGAAATGTTTCCTCTTTTAAACGTGATCATTAATTTTTAAATTTTGGAGTCAGCAATAAATGAAAAAAAATTGTAAAGCCTAATAGGGACATACAGAATATTATAGAGTCCGGTTACCTTATTCTCTTTAATAGAATTAAATTAATTCTTTTCTAATCCTTTATTTCTAAAGAGAAAACATTATAGCCAGAATTAACTGACGCCGAATCAGCCGTCTGTCGATATATTTTTGCATGTAAATCGACATAATGATATACAATCGAATCGCAGATCATTTTATGATTCATTTTACCTTGATGACCTCGTGGTCGAAGGGAGAGCATCAATGCATCTGGGAACAGTTGACAAAATATATCTGTCAAGTGTACAACAATAACATTATTCCGGCTCGGTGAAATTTGTCTTGTTAATATCGTTTGTTCCGATCAATTCGACGTGAGAGCAATGGTTTATCATTGTACCCGTCGAATCGATCAGAATTCATTTTCGTGGATCACCGCACGTGATGTCGACCTCGTCGCGAGGCCAGGCTAGGTGCTACAGAGAAATTCATCTGTGACAGGCCTCGTGCGGCTGGATGTCAGGCGGCTGAATAGTTTGGTAAGGAAGCTGTGTATCTCTGAAGTGCGATCTGACCAGCAGGCCCAGACCGAGCAGCACGACAGGAAGACCGAGCAAGGCGCAGATCAGCTCGCCCGTTACTCCCGGTGACCAGGAGATGAAACCTGTTCAATTTGTTCATTTAGTTATCAGGAGATAAATCTTTTAAAGCCTCAGTACTTCGGTTTTTGTGCAATTACGTGATCAAATGCCTAGGTAAAATACAGAGTCCTAATTAAGTTAATGATATGATGTAGGACGTCACTATTTGATATTTAAAAATAAACTTATAAGTGACAAATAAATAATGATGATGTTCTTATGATATTATTATTAGATACAATTAAAAAAGTAAGACAACCTTAAATAGTAATTTAAAATTGTACGTACTTACGAAATTGTCAAAAAATTGAAAGTAAAGCGGGCTAATGAGAGTGAAGCTATGTAAACATTGCACAAATTTATATGTGTAAATCTTCAATTTATTTAATTTGGACGTTTCGACTGACGTTCGAGTCACCTTTAGCAATAATCACACAATAAAAATGAGTTGAATCTTTAGCGAGAGAACTCTACTCTCATTAGCCCATTCTTTACCTTCAATTTTTGATATTATTATGATTTCTATGTTCTACTTAGGCAATTTACGGAAAGCAGGTCTGAGAAAATGACACGTGATTATAAGGAATTCATAAACGAATTCGTGATAATGTAACTGTAAGAGGGAATATGTTAATTCTTAATTGAAATTGAGAATTCGTAATCCGGATATCTAATCTATAAATAGAACGTCTAATATGTAATTGTTTGTATTTTTATAAAAAGGAATAAGTTAAAATAAATTGTGAAAGAAATTTATCTCAACTCAATTAAGAGAGAGTATCCTGCTTTAGAAGATTATATTCGTAAGTCCAGGAAGTAAATTTTTACGAACCATACTTGATTCACGTATCTCTCTACGGGATTAGCTTTTGCTTTAATATCTGTTATCCGTTTTAATATTTAACACAAGGCAAATCGTTGCAAAATTCAAGCTAAAGCTACAACATTTCATGCACCATGCATTTAGATATTTACCCCCGTGTAAACCAACGTCCATCCTGTAAATGCTCCACCAGATACCAGATAGCGGAAGCGAAACGGTAGCGGTGGCCACGCTGAACACTGAGCTTTCGCATAACGACAGGAAGTTGAGACTCGAGATCGCGAAGATAACATACGCGAATAGGAAAGTCCACCCGTGACTGGAAACGTTCGCGCATAGATTGTCGCCTTTAAAGTGACATATTAGTCCACGTTCAACAGTACGATAGAGTTCAACGGGCGATAGACCCTGAAACGCCATTTAAAAAATTATTTTTTAAATAAAGCATGTTTAATTAATATTCTCTCATAAAGCCGCCAACTCATTTTATGTATATTATCAAAATCATAACATTATGCGTAATAGTTTCATTTGAAATACATTTCTAAAAATCTTGAAGAATTTATATTTGAAAATGTAATTTATATTTCACAAATAAATGATATGTTTTTAAAGTATTTAACTTTCGTAAGTTATCGTAATTTTTTATTTTCATGATTGATGAAATAAAGTTAATTATTCTAGTTATTTTTACACAGTCGTGTAAAAATGTCATAAAAATCCAAATTAAAAATAAAACGAAAACACATTATATCAATTTTGAAACCTGTGCGCCAGAATACTCATGGTGTGCGTCCTACTCTCCAAAATATATGCGGACATCAATTACAACATTTTTCGAGCTAATTATGAGCTGCAAACACTACAAATCCCAAAAAATTAACTAAAATGGTTTAAAGTTCTTCTTTCTTTAAAGGGCCTTCGGTCCTCCAAAGGTTAAAAGCTTTCTCCCCTGATATAGGTTTTTATTGATTAAATTTAAGATAAGTTGTGATGTAAAAAATTGAAAATTTTTATTGTTAAAGATTTGGCCTAAGAAAAATCTCCTGAAAACTGTCGTTGTTGATAATGATAGATAAATGATGCGTTTCTTTTTATGCCACTCACCCTGCCAACACCGGGCAAAGTATCGAGCCAGCAGAACGTCAGGATGGCGAAGAAAGTAATGACGTGTATGTAAAAAAGGGTTTGCATCACCGGTGGCTTGGGGTAGCTTTTTGGCTTTATCGTGGGATCCGGATCGGTCACGTGCAACAATCGACCACCCTCCTCCTCGGAGCCACGACGACGAATATCGCGCGAAGACACTAGACGGGATACCGTGTATAGGAAAGAATTGTGCTGCGTTGTCATCATCTGGCACACGTTCTGTTGCTAGAAACGTAAGATCAAGAATGTCACGTCATTGAAATCAGTTGTTCGGAAGATGTAAATGAAAATCCGACGACCAAAAACCTAATCCGTCAAATAAGAAACCGGCTTATCCACAAATATCCAAGAAAAAAAAAGACGTACGTATAAAAATGTTCTGCGATAAATATGGCGCTCCTTTTAATAAATTACATAATTAACGAATAAAAGAAAAATCTCAAAACATTTTTCTTATTCTTTTTACCCAAGACACACAAAAAATCAAAGATGACTTTATTTTGGTTCTTAATATCGAAAAACAGTTAAATTTTGTACCTATATATAATTATTAATATATATAATTTTGTACTATAAAAAAAATCACTTTGACTTTCATAACATTATAATATCATTTAGACTTTCTCCTGATTTGATGTGTTCCTTAGGTACTTAATAAAAATCCAATTTCTTCAATCTTTTCTGATAAGGGTTAAAATTAGAAGTTCTTTCGAAACTGAGTTTAATAAAAATCGTGCCGATATATCATCGAAGATCCCACGGGTGTTGTGAGAGAATAAACTACGATTTGCGCAAAAATGTCGATGATAAATTACCCCGGTAGTGTAATGGCGTTCAAGCATAGTGAAGAACATGGCGAAGGCGGCGAGAGAGCCCACGTAAACGAACGTCCAAACCGCCCGGGCACCCCAGGATCCTCTCATGGCGGCTGTGTGCGAAGAAACTTCTCTTCCTCGACAACGAAACTCGTCGCAGAGACCGTAATCGACGCTTATAAACAAACCCACTATTATAGTTGTGCTCGAGAATATTCGCTGCAGACTCATCACTGAAAACATTCGAGGGGGATGAAATTTAAATTTGCATCCAATTAGAAAAAAATTATATTTCGAGAAATAACAAGAATTATTATTTCAAAAAAATATCTTCGAAGTTTGATACAACTAACTCTAAAATGTTAATTCTATTGAGTTTTAGTATTGCTATTGATACGTGTATAGATAATTTTACATACAAGAAAATAGGTCACTTTAATTAACTTCCGGAGCTTGATACAATTAACTCTAGAATGCTATCACTATTGAATAATACAGTATTGTTATCGATACATAAATGTTACGTACAAAAAAATAGATCACCTTTAATTAATGTAATTTAAGTTTTTTATATAGTTCATGCTTTTAATAACAAAATATAAAACGTAGAGTTTTATAAACATAAATAACTTCATCATTAACTTAAAAGAAAAAAAAGAACAAACACTGTCAGAAATCTTGAAATGATATGGAATATAATTCAATCGTATATTTTTTCATAACACAGTATATAATAATAAAATAACACAAAATTGCTTAAATATTGAAACCACGCTCTCTGTCATAATCCTTCTCTACTAATCATCAAGGAGTCTAAATTGATATATAACGGACAGAATTTTTAAAAGTTTGTTTCCAATTATCTTAATATGACAAATGGGATTTCCTAATGATTATTGAAGGCATAGCTGTATTCATTAGTATTCAATAACCTCGTTTCATTTGTACGTAAAATTTATCATTGTAGGATTAAAAAAATTAATTTCAAAAATAGTTTCTCATTATTTCTAAAGCTGTACTGCAGAGAATTATTCTCAATAAATTCTTCATTTTTTTGAATTAATACTTTTTAAATATTTAAATATAAAACAATAATACGTACCATAAATATACTAAGTCTAAAATTTTACATCCATTTAATACACGCTTCGCCGAAAAAACATTTTAGCTTATCATAATAAACAAAATAATTTGGCATTTGTGTAACGCAATTACATGAATGGTAAATTATTTTGCTTATTATGATAAAACGTTGATAAAATAACAATACCAACATGACATGCAATTCTAAAGCACTCACTTTTTTGACAAAAAAAGAAGTAATAGACGAGAGAGAAGACGAGGGTAATGCCCTTTATCGGATCTTGTAAGTGGCACAACACCCTATTCCGATCGAGAGACAGAGTGATTAGGATTCCTGAGAGGGCGTACAGAGTGCTTATTTTGATCAGGCCGCAGCGGGGGATCTTAATCCGCATGCTGTTCGGTATTAACGGCGGTGGTGGTGACACTCTGTCCACGGCGAAGTACACCACCCCCAAAATAAAGGCGGAGCACAGGGCAGTGAAAAGGAGTCCTGCAAGAGAGTCATAAAGACCGATTTGGAAACATATTAAATTGCCGCGAATAAAGCGAAAGAGTCAAAATGACAGCGGCATGAAATTAATTAAAGCGTCAATATTAATGAATTTACCGTATAATTGAAGTGGCATCCAATTTTAGCTCTGCTCTAATCGAATAAATATTTCTACTCGGTATTAATCAATAATGTTTTTTAATCAATAACGTTAAAAAATAAACGATTAATAAAACCATAAGTAGAGAACTATCCAAAATGAAAAAGTCTAATTGAAGTCTAATTTAAATTTCGTTTTTTTTTGTAACTTTTAGCAAATATATATATATCGTGAATATTTTTTAAAGATTAGATACTATCAGTAACATATTTTATTTTACGTGATTCGGTTGCTTTTCTTGTGTTATTATATCAGCCAGAGCGAGCTATAATTTTGGAAATGACGAGAATCCGAGAGATATGCGCGTACATCTCGCAGCACATGGTGAACGTTCGCGGATATAAATAAATTGTTTGCAGTAATTGCAATCCCGAGAAATTGATCCCCGAGATATTTAACTCCGAAATCCCGAAATTGCGAGATCCATCGGTCGAGCTTGGCCACTCAATTTGGCGTTACACATTAATTTAGACATCATGTGTACCTCCGTATATTGGTGCAATCCGTAAAGATGTGTGAGTGTGTATGTGTGCATAAATAGGTGTACGTATGTCTCTGTCTACCTGTGTAAGCGCTGGAGACAGCGGCGACGCTCTCGAGATAAAGCGGATAGCTGATAACGAGAACGGTAACTGATATTGCAACCGACACGAGAGTGGCTAGGAAACGGAGCTTCTGCCAATTTTCGCGATCGGTATCGAACAGCTTATCGCCACCCGCTTGATAAGGGACATATGGCGACTCCTCGGTGTCGGTGTATTCCTCGATCTCGACGTCGCTGCCAGTGCAACGAAGCTCTTCCTGTTCCTCGTCATCCATCATCGTCGACACACAGCTCGTTAGACTCGCCAGCTTGGCGGCTTTCTCGTTACTCTATCGAAACAAGAATTCTTTGGCTTCTAGTACATTCCGTTTCAAGATGACGAATTAGCAATATAGTTAAATTTAATATCAAAATGTACTTTCATACACACTGAAAGCCATCTCGTTAATTTTACGTATTTTTAATAATCTCTATATTTTCTGTTTGTAATTGCATATTTATGTCATGTAAATTATGCGAGCTAAAAAACATTTGTTTTGATTTAAAGCGCTACATTTAGTAATAAAAAAAATAATAATAAGATAATTCTTGTACGTATTTTTATTTTAAGATCTGCTTTAATAAATTGAATTGAATTTTAATTTGTATATTGAGTTATATATAAATAAATATTGAATGTAGAAAGCGATTAATTATTTTTCCCTTAATTCAGAATGAGTTTAATAATTTTTCTTATTATGTGAATATTTGATATTTATAATTGTCATATATCTAAATCATAAACGGAGAATTAGACGGTTATATTTAAATCTAGCTGCATTCATGGCATTTGAATGCAAAACCCTGCCTTACTAGTTTGAAATATATGATCAGAAACCATTGAAAATGAATATATGATATATGTGGGTACTGAAAGGATTAATTTCTGCGATTCTATGGCTTTAAATGTGCTTGATATAAAGCGTAAGAATAATATAAATTTTTAAATTTAAAAATACCTAATAAATACTTATTTATAATGGTGTATATTTGTTATTTTCAAATGGAACAATATTTGTTCAAAAGGACGATTATTATAGACATCGTCCTTATTATTATTATTTTATAAAATAATGCTCCAATTATTTTATTAAATTATTCTTCAAATAATTCATATCAGATTTCAAAATAGGATTTCGATTATAATATCATATGTTGTGTATTTCGATATATGTGTGTAATTTAATATTTTTATATGAATATATTTCTAATTCTTTAAATTTTGGTACATAAAATTATAAATAAAATTCTATCGTAAATTTTGAATACATGAAAAGCAGATCATCTAAAGTGAACTCAAAGTGAAACTTTCATGCGTTGGAATTAATTTCAAGCTACGGTTCTGAAACGTATCACGAACCTCGCCCTTTTCACAGGTACAAAGCGGTCCAGATGCATGCGAGAATAGAACGAGCAAAATTGCGGATTAGATTGCGTGTCGCTTGCTATCGTGCGTAACCAAACCGTGCGAGGCTTAGAAACGAGAGAATAAAAAATTCCTTTTAATTTATTTAAAATTATATATTTTAAACGCATCATGTTTCCAATATAACAGAAAGCATTTAAGTAAAAAATGTATTTTATAAAAAAAACATTTACTTTAATTATTTAATTTGCTGTGGATTTATCAAAATTTTGAAACTGAATTTATGGAATTACGGAATTGTTGAAAATTTAAATAATTATTATATTCGTTCTTAAGTCTATTTTATATTCATCTCAGAATTCAAGAGTAAATTCTATTTATAACTTTATGCGCCCTTTTAATATATAAGGAAAAAATATTAAAATATCAGGAGTACAGACACGCAGAGATATAAAACACATCACGAAAGATATAACATATAAAGCTATGAATAGAATTCTATTATATCTCGAATTCCAAGCAAATTATAGATTGTTTAAAATGGACTTAATAAACTACTAAAATATTAAAACATCTTATTTTAATAGAAATAGTAGAAGGTTTAAAAGTAGCAAAGTAGTAAAGACGTAATATATAGAATTATTAGTAAGCATAAAAGTTATTATTAGACATAAAATCCTGCGCAACGATCGAAGATAATATTTAACATTTAACATAATTTTATCTGCTTTACATTAATCACTAATTATTTATTAAAATAAACGATTAGTATTAATCTGTTCGACATTATTTAAATTATATAATGCAAACGTGAAATATTAATTAATTGTAGCTGTATAGTGTAATCTTTTTTAGAAATATACTATAATATTAACTATGTCGATAAACGAGTAGTAAATGTCACTTTATTATCAGATAACGTGAAAAGCAAATAAATTCAATCTTATATACGATTATCTAATTTTATCTTATTAACTTAAAAACAACTAATAAAAAAATTTAGGATTTTTTCTGACAACTAGAAAATTCAAATTTTTTACAAAAAGAAAGATAAAGATGCAAAAAGTAAGACAAAGCGCAGACTGCTCCGGGAAAAGCATAACGTAAACAAAGCAATGCTTGTTATCGGAAAAGACGCAGAATCGTTCTATTAGCGTCACTCATTGTTGATCAGACTTGGATAGCCATAATTGTTTGTATAATGTCTCTAATTTCTAAATTATACAGCGAGAATTGGCAAATCAATTAAACAAAGAGACGCAAACTAATTATATATGGAAATCGGCATTAATGCTCTGAAATTGTCAGACTCACCCTTGGACGGGAACCTAACCTGACACCGCCCACCCTCGAGAAAAGGTCTGATACCCCGGGTATCCCCTGTGAACCGTCGTGTCGCTGACGCTAGACGAGTTCACGATGCGGTCGACGGTGACGACGATAGACAGCGACGGCGGCGATGACGATGACGCGCAGCGCGCTTTAATCGCGAGTGCTGCGTCGCGCGATAAGCTAAGCGAAACAGCAAAACCGCGACTTCAGCCCATCGTGGATGACGACGAGAGGTGCCTCTTTGTGTCGCGGCTTCCGCCACCAACCTACCTCGTCAGGACCGTACCCGGCGACTCGATAAGCGAAGTCGAAGCCCATCCACGTGCGGATTCCGTATAACGATATCGATTGCAGAATGGAAATGAGTGATATCCTGCTCAGTATTAGTAAAAATCATGTTTTAAACATGTTTTAAACATGTTTTAAATTGTTTAAAATATATTTAATTGATGATTTTTACATGTGATAAAACATGTTTTTTTATATAATACTATTTAAAACATGTATGAATTAAAAAATGTATATAAAATATATTTTCTTTTAAAAAAAATATTATCTTTGTCAACTATGATCCTGCTGGATTCTACTATGTACTTAGGATAAATTTTTCACAATAGTTTACTGCATTTGTTTCTATATTATACATGCGTTATATATAATTAAATTTTGAATAATAAAATTAAAATTGTTTAAGTATCAATTTCTCTGATAAATTTAATTATCAAGATAGGCATGAATATAATATGCAAAAGTTTAAATCTTGAATTCTCTCTCATTAAATGATCGCAAAAAATTTACTCTAAATAGTCTAAATATATGATGAAGTTCAGGAAAATTTTCGTTTTATCATGCACGTTTCTATACAGAATTATGTAACATGAGAAATTAATACATTCGAAGAAATTTACCTAAATTTTTTTGAAATATCTGTGATGTCATTTATTTCAGAAAATAAATTTATGAGACAACCAGATTTTTTCCTAGATGATAAAGAATATGAGAAAAATATCCGAGAATGAGACAATTTCGAAACGATGGTACTTTTCGCGATGTATACGGTCTTGATTTGGCGCATGAGCGCAAGATATGCGCGATGCAAGTCACGCTTTATGCGCGTTCTCGGGAATTAATTCCAAAAATTCTGAGTTATACGCCGCGGAATATTGAGAGTAACGCGGACTGTCAGGAATAGAGTACGTTACATCATTTCCCTAATCAGATCCTAATGGATGTCTCGTGCGCAGGCATTAATCATTATTATCCACGAAACAAGGTACAGTATCAGTAACAGAAAATTGAGATCTGCAATAAGTAAGACTATAGTTACTTTACTAATCTTAATTATGATAGAGAAGTTTTTAAGAATTCAGAGCTATTTTACGTAAGCTTTTATTTTACAAAGTCCGAAATAATAAAGCACAAGTGTTTCACCTGTTTATCTTCAAAATTGCACATCTTGTATATGGTAGAATATAATTTCCATCTCTCTCTCTCTCTCGCAATACTTAATAATTATAAGTAAATTTCAATGCATTTTTGACAGTAAAATTAAAAAATTGAAACATTAATAAATGTAAGACACACTTTTTGAATTTTAGTCTTTTAAATGAAAAAATGAAATTTTTTTTAGTACTGTTCCATACGTTTATAGTCGCGCTATAGTTTCAAAACATTAAATATATCTATTCTATTTTAAGTTATTAATATAGCAGTATTATTTGCCTCAAAATCTTTCAATTTTCGTTATTAAAACTTCACAATTATGAATACTTATTAAATATCTTAGATAACAAATCACACACAATTTACAATAAAATAAATTTTATGTAAAGTATAATAAAATAGTTCTCTTTACTGTAGAACTAGAAATTTGGTATGCAAAAAGTATTTTAAAAGTATTAAAAAAAACTTACTTCAAAGTTTTATTTTAAATTAATTATATTACACTGAAAGAAAAGATTGGTTGCTGCAATAATTTAGATAGTATATAATTTAGATAGAAAATATGGCATAGCATTTTTATATGGCTGTAGCAGCAAATTTTCAGTTGCATTACTCTATGAAAATCATATACTAATATTGCGGATAGGCAACACAACTAAAAACTAGTTACTGCAGCCATATAAAAAAATGCTCTGCCATAAGTTACAACTTTAAGTTAACTTTTACATTATTTACTTTCTGATTGTCGAAATATAACTTTTATTGCTTTATTAAAGTTTTACAATCACAAATATTAAATACATATTGAGATGCAAATCGTGATTTTTTTAATAATATATATCATTTACATGTATCTATAAACTTGAATAAAATATTTGAAATTATGACGGTAGTAAAAATTGATACGCAAAGTTTTTATTTTAAGAAAAAAATTACATCCAAATAATTATATAGCCAATATATTAATAGCCAATAACATAAAAAATAAAACATAAAAGTATAATATAGATTACTAAACAGACGTTAATTTTCGTGCTACATGCTTTCTGCATTTAGAAGACTGTACCAGGTCTGTCGCAGAGAGGTGTAACAAGCGGCGTTGTATACGCGTGGCTACTTGCGGACCATCGATACAAATGCAAAACTGAACTTGATTAACTGGCTGAGTTAGCTTCCCTAGGTTCTGAAAACTTGTCAGGAAATGTCCGTTAGGGAATTGCGAGATCGAAGTCAAGTGATCGCGGGAGCTATGTATTCAGTCGTCCAACACGGAAACGGAAAGACCAGGAATCTGCATGCAATAGACGTTCCGAGTTCGAATCACGTATCGCGTGCAAACACTCAACTTCTGATTTTCGGTTACGACCAACATTCGCGTCTGAGAGGTGTTAATTGCAAGGAAACATTGGCGATTTTAGATTCGCGTCTTTGCGCGAGAGAAATTGCGAGAGAGAAATTTGAATGTTTCACAAACTGATTTTGGACTCTAATGCGACTCTAATGAAAATTTTTACAAAATTATCAATAATATAGTATCTAACATATAATAATATAGTATCTAAGTCTTCTTTGATTATCTGTTTGTTATCTAGATAAATTTTTTATTCATTCAAATATTGCGAAATTGATTTGTTAATCTGTTTTTATTAGTGACGTAATTATTACAATAATAGGTGTAAGAAATCTTCAAAAGAAATTAAAGCCATTTCATATACAGTGAGTAAGTAAATGTGTGTTACACAATTCTGCACCGTTAAATCCATAGAATCAAATTTAATCTAATGTTAATCGCCACTGTTCCTACTAAATATATTGTTATTTTTTACCAAAACGATAATTAAATTTGATATTATATCGTAACACTGTCAAGTTGATACTATATATGTCAAATACATATAACCATTGTTTAGTATAAAATAATGAGATAAGATTGAATAGGAGCAATGGCAACTCACATTAAATTAAATTGCCTCTATAGATTTAAGTGTGTAATACAATTTACGTTTGTTTTTTATTATATTGCTCAAAATAATTACGTAAAACGCTAAAATTGCTGGAATATCAAAATATTTTGCAATATTTCTCATCATGCTTAAGATTCTTACAAAATTATTTTAATGGTCCAACGAAATTATTTTTAGATTTATATCTATATTGCTAAATTTTTAGATACTTTAGCAAAATTATTCTTTCCGTATAGACATTTTCAAAAGAAATCAGATGAGCGATTTCATATGCAATTAGTAAATGAGCGAGTGTGTTACATAACTCTATAATATAATTTATGTTTATTTTGATTTATGTGGAGGACAATTTTCAAATCCCACTTTCAAAAATTCATTTTCGAAAGAATCAAATAAAAATTTTTTTATGCTTTAGTTTCCATTTCTATGTCTAATTATAAGTCATTGTTTGTATTTTTGAATACGAGATATTATTTATGTTTAACTCCATCTAAAAAATAAAAACACAGTAGGAGATAACACATATATAGAGAAAACACAGTAGGAGATAATATACATATAGAGAAAACTAGGGCTTGTTGACATTACGTTACGTTTATGTATTTATGATGAAAGAAACAATGGAAGTTATGGCAAAATATCTCTTTTATAACATAAGCATTTTTGTCTAAGATTCATTTAAATTAAACAAGTATTATAAGAAGAAAAGAGAAAAATCTTATTTAGGAGAAGGCAAAATTATTTTTAATTATAATTAATTATGATTAATATGATAGAAAGAACCTTTCTCTATATTTTTATGCCAGGAATGGTTCTGTACAGTTTTTTGTATAAATACGAATATGCTGCATTGTAGTCAATTTGTTGATAGTTCTGTACATTCTATATAGGTTTTTTATAGTAAATATGAGCATGTTGCATTGTACTCAATTATTTAGTTTAAAATCTAAAAACAAATAATAATTAATTGTTTAAAGTCTGACAAAATTATCAAAACTGTCAAGGTGCCCCAGTTTCTCCTAATAGTACATAAAATATTATATTTATTATTATTATTATATATATATATATATAAATAATTAAATAATTAAAATAATTAAAAGTCTTGCTTTTTTATTGCGTAACAAATTAGCTAAGCTCTTTAAAATTTGCCAGTTAACGCCGCGTCAATTTTATTATTGGATTTAATTTTTGCGTGAGAGGATCAATGCGATCATGCATAAAATTGTTGATGGAAGTAATTAATAGATACTATATCGTACAAGGATTACGGTTGGTCCATCACGACGGCAATTACACCAGAATGCGTTCTACATATCGATGAGATTACTGGATTCGCTTTGGGATGAAAACCAGACTTAATCAGTTCTACATTGTACGGTGTCGATTTCATTACGAAATCTGAACGATTCACCGGAATTCCGATTACAAATCCACGTCTCACACGATCAACTTGAATTTTCCGTGGAATTCACGCATCGTTATTCATATCTCAATCCCACAACTTTTGGGGATTCATTCATTAATGAAAGTTTATCCAAAGCACTTTCGTTTTCTTTTTGTTTCGCACTCGATATGGAGCTAGCAAGAAAAACAATTTGAACAAAAAATGCAAAGTTAGTTAAACTCACGCGAAAGTTGATAAAAGTCTGCTTCGTGATAATTACTGTTATAATGTTATAAATCTAGCCATTATCCCATTATGCGGTTTATTACACACATATTTCCGGATTTAGAAACTCTGCCTGTAATGACCTACGTATTGACGTAAGTAAACTACGTAACATTAATAATTCTTCGTCAAGCAGTTTTACGTCGATATTGTAAGCGTGATATATTTTTTCA